TTAGGAGGAAGTAAAGAAACCCAAGGCAACACATTCCTAATTCAGTGGATCTGAGTTTCTTGTTACTCAAATGACTGCAATCCTTTGGGGTTGATAATGGAGAATCTCTGTTACCAACCCTGTAATTTGCACACATAAATACACCGTAGTTGCTGGTTTTCAAGTTTATTAAAATGTTGTATTGGCACTGGTGGTTCTTTCTAAATAAAGGGGCTGATTGTGCGGGGTCCCACATCTTCGAAGAGTTTTGAACAGTTTCAGCCATTTTACATTAAACTAGATTTAAAGGGTTTTTTTGTTTTGTTTTTTGCATTTAGTGATGCCTAGGGCCTTTGAACAAAGCGTTTTACAAGTGAATCTGCTTTGCAAAGAATCCTTTTTGTAAAGAGAGACCTTGTTACCCTTGGCACCTACTGGGAACATCCCTAATTTTGGATGGTGAAGTAAGGCCACCTTTTAAATACATCCCTGGAAGGGATGAAATGCTCAGAACTTGGCAGTGTTTCACTTCTGACGGCCTAGTTCTTAAGCCACATACAATCTAATTGGTGGTGACAGCTTTTTCCATAAGAGCATTTGGATGAATTAAGTTTTTCCCCCTACTTCTCTTCTCATGTCCTCAGTGGAACTACTATGCTGTGTTCACCCTGGTGCCTAGCAGAGTGCCGGGTAGGTGGAAGGCAATCAGGAACTCTTTGATAAATTGCATACTCATTATTCAAACCTTCAAAACACATCGCTTATCTGGGCAGGCAGATACTGAAGATCTTCAGAACTACAAGACATCACCAGAAGTACACCAGTAGGAGAACTGAGTGGTAGCACACAAGGCATACTATGATATTAAAATGATTATGTTAAATGAATATAAATTGGTCATTTTCTTTTATATGTGTTGGGTGCAGAGGAGGGGTGTTTAGGTAAGAAGTCATCAGGTTCTTTATTATGAAACCAAGTGTTTGAATTTCTGTTGTACTCTTTGTTTATAGATAGTGCCCTTTGTATAAGAACACTTTTAAAATGTTGCCCAAATTTGAGTATCAGAACACTGTACTTTCTCAGCTAGCAGTTTTGACTTTTGTTGGTGACTCATTCGAACTACTGGGAAACCCAAACCAACTATGGATATCAGAGACTGCCTGTTCTGGAAGGGGTTAGGACTTTCTCATGGGTGAAGAGAGTGTGGTAAAATGCACTGGCTGTAGCAGAAGACAGTTGGTGGGGAGAGGCCAGGAATTGCTTGTCATTCTCTTGGTCCCCCCATCTTCTTCAACTTGGTAATAAATTTCTCAGATGAGAATTGATCTCAATCACTCAGTGTGATATGATACTTATTTATAGTGTTTGTTTTGTGTTATTTTGTACTTTTCATGGATGTTTTCATGTACTCCTCAGAGGAAACCTGGCTTTATCTCCATTTTACAGATTAGGAAACCGAGGTCCGAATAAGGAACTTGCTTACATTATACAGTTGGTAAGTGAAAGAGCCAGTATATGAACCTAGAAAGAATTCATGGGGCTTGGCTCCAAAGCCGTCCCTTACTTTCCTTATCTGTAAATAGTAAGTAATACAACTCCTACTGTATACAGTTGTGAATATTAATAGAGATAATGCAATAAGGTCCCTACAGCAATGCTTGGCACCTAGTAGGTGTGCAATAATTGAGAGCTCTTATTAGCAATAATTTCTCTTAACAACTATCATAATGCTAAGAAGATAGTATTTTTTTATTTTAAGCCCTGTTGTTTTCTCTAGTAAACCAATCAAAAACTTTGAAAGAAAAAGAAGGGGTAACAAACAGGGAGAAGGACAGTTGAAGTATTATAAATTGCCATATTGACCTCCCATTGGCTAGAAGTCATATTAGTGAATCTTGAAGTATTTTCACACGTCAAAAGGGGGAAAATCAAGCAGTGTCTTGAGGAATTCTGTTTGCCATAATTCCCCTTATTTTCATTCTCACCCTCTCCTCTCAGGGATCAGAACGGCTGTACTCAGTATGCAAGCTCTGTTTGGTATATATGTAGCTGGGTGGCCCTAAGCTTTTCTTTTTAATGGCAGCTCTAAATGCCATTAAAATTCAAATAATTCTTTGTCTTAAATGTAGAATTACAGAATTCAAAATAATTCATAAATTGTGTACTTTAGGAGAACCAAGAAGTTGTTTTGTTTTGTTTTTAATATATTTCTACAGATTTTTCAGTGATGTGGATGAATGAAAAATTGGAAGTCTGAATTGACCAAGATTGAGGGCCTTTATTAAGAGTTAGAAGCCTTATTACGAAGGAAATTATATGTTTTACCCATGCACTGTTTTTCTCATTGACGCTCTTATGTAGGAAGTTAAAGCTTTAGAAATGATTTTTTTTTTAAATCCTTCTAATCATTTGTACTATTTTTGGTTGTTCTGTTTTTACTGCTTCTGAGATAAGGACAGGAGGCATCCACAGTTTCACTTTTAGGAACTTTTGTTAGTATGCAATCCAGAAAAAAATTTACACAGTTATTTCTAAACATTTTAAAAATTATATATATACACACACACTTTTTTTTAAACTAAAAGCTTTTAAATTTTGAACCTAAAACAGATACTTTCTACAAGAGCCCTGTGTTAAATTTAGGTTGCAATAACATTTCCATATTAATTTTTACTTTTCTTTACGCATTTTTATGTTTCTGTAAGTTGGACTTTATTTAGCAGAGAAGTTGGCCTCCTCTATGACACCAGCTATTCTATTATTTTTTTACATGAACATACATAATTTGTTGTCATATTCTTTCTCACCATAGGTTACTACAAGATACTGAATATAGTTCCCTGTGCTATACAGTAGGACCTTGTTGTTAATCTATTTTATACATATTAGTATCTGCAAATCTCAAGCTCCCAGTATATCCCTTTCCACACCCTCTCCCCATAACCATGTTTTTTCCCTGTCTGTAAGTCTTTTTCTGTTTTGTAAATAACTTCATTTATCTTTTTTATATCCCACACATAAATGATATCATATTTTGCTTTCTCTTTCTGGCTTACTTCACTTAGAATGAGATTCTCCAGGTCCATCTGTGTTGCTGCAAATGGCATTATTTTATTTTATTCTTTTTTATGGCTGAGTAATAATTCCATTGTATAAATATACCACAACTTCTTTATCCAGTCATCTGCTGATGGACATTTAGATTGTTTTCATGTCTTGGCTATTGTATATAGTGCTGCTCTGAACATTGGGGTGCATGTATCTTTTCAAATTAGAGTTCCCTCTGGAAATATGCCCAGGAGTGGGATTGCTGGATCATATGGTAAGTCTATTTTTAGTCTTTTGAGGAATCTCCATACTGTTTTCCATAACGGCTGCACCAAACTACATTCCCACCAACAGTGTACGAGGGTTCCCTTTTCTCCACACCCTCTCCAGCATTTATCATTTGTGGACTTTTAATGATGGCCATTCTGACTGGTGTGAGGTCAGTTTTTGTTGTAGTTTTGATTTGCATTTCTCTAATAATTAGCGATATTGAGCATTTTTTCATGTGCCTATTGGCCATTTGTGTGTCTTCACTGGAGAATTTGTTTAGGTCTTCTGCTCATTTTCGGATGGTGGTGGTTATTATTATTATTATGATGATGATTATTATTAATTAATATGAGCTGTTTATATATTTGGAAATTAAGCCCTTCTTAGTCTCATCTTTTGCAAATATTTCTCCCATTTCGAAGGTTGTCTTGACATCAGCTGTTCTAGATAAAAAGCATGAATAAACCTGCTTTCTCCCAACCTAGAGAAAGCACCTCTAAGCAAGCAGCTATGACACATGCCTCTGAAGTGTTGATATTACTGCTTTGTGAAACGTGATGATTCAAATCATTTTTGTCTCAGGTTGCAGCTTTTCACATTAGCTTGAAGTAACAGTAATAATAGGAACGTTATTTGAACGTGCTTGGTGTGGTCTGCTACTGTTTCAAGTATTTCACATGCTTTTTGTTCATTAAGTAGCTTTTTATTTTACCATCTTTACCTATCACTTGAGCAAAAGCTTTGGGCGCATAGTGTGTATTGGGGAGGGGTGCTAAATTTCGTGGGCCAATGCTTAATTTAGTAAACAGAATCTAACAAAACTTTATTTTCTAGGAATGCTGTACATTCACCTAAGCCCTTGGGTTCACGTTCTGCCCAAAGACAATCATAAAGAGGGAGAGACCAACAACTCGAATTAAAAATCAACTAGAATGGGGGTGGTGGTGGTGGTGAATGAATAACTCCTAGGAGCAATGGAAGGAGAAACAGAGAAATTTGGGGTAGTGTCTCCAAAACAAGTAAACGGATTCGCCTTGATCTCTCCTCCACTCCATCTTACACTAATTTCATGGTCTCCTCTTTGCTGGACGGGTTCAAGTTCCCCGGGAGCACGTTGCGCCCTCCAGTGTGGGGCATCGGGCGAACCGCGGGCTTCAGGCTGACACCTCTGACCGCACCTGGGCGGCATTTCCTCACCTGCCCCTGGTTTCCTCCACGCTCGGCGTCCGCTCGGCGGCGGTTTCGCATCCACGCTCTTGACAGCAGCGCGGCCGCCCAGGAGCGGAGAGCGAAGTGCTCCCTGAACCGGCCCCTGCGCCCCGGGTCGGACCCCGGGCAGGAAGGCCCGGCAGCGACGCCAC